ACAAACAAAATTTTTTTATCAGGTTAGGGTTAGGGTGAGTGCTCAGTTAGGGTTTGGGTTTAGGCTGTTGTATAGTAAAATCGCTCAAGGAAAAGAAATAAGCTTGTTTTGACAAAAGATTAACGTTACACCAAATTATGATCTTTTATTGGCCAATAATCACGTGATCGAGAAAATTTTGTTGGCGATACTGGGGTAGTTCATTTTTGGTTTAATTTTACGTATCATATAAAAATATTATATTTTTAAAGCTATATATTTTAACAAATTATCATAACTTTTTAAAAAATAAGGCCGTTAAAATGTAATAAATTGATTTAGCTATAAAATAGTGGCTTCCTTTTTAAAATATCTTTTTTAGATTATAAGTTATTAGCTTTTAAAGTTTGTGTAGTCTTTAAGTGTCACACACTTTAGCAGAGTGAGAAACAGGTATTAATATTTTCTGTTTCAATTTTTCTAACATTTTAGCAATAATTTCCATTTTCTTTTCCGCTTTGGATGGAAATTTATAATAATAATCATTCACCTCTTTAAATTTACTGCGAGCATTTATAATTCTAAGTTGCTCAATTTTTTTTTTTCCCCAAAACTTCATTTTCATTTTCTATCTCTTCTAAGTTTTTTTTAAATCTTTTGTAGTAATCATTTTTTAGATTTTCAACTAGTATTTCTAGAATTTTTATTTCTTTCTCATATTCCAATTTTTTTTTAATATGCGATGTTGCTGCGGATTGAAGAGCTTGTTTTAGATTAACGATAAGTGTATTTATTTCTGAATTTAAATAATTAAATTTTTCTTCGGAAAGAGCTTTAATTTTAATTAATTCTTTATGTTCTTTGTTTCCAATTGCTGACACTCTCATCAATTTTAAATTTTCATTATCAATTTTCATTTTATTTTCTTTTTCTTCCTATTTATTTTGCTCTTTTTTCATTATGAGATTGAATTCTTCAGCTACAGAAGATTCGAACGCATTTTGAAGTTGAGCTACAGAAGATTTGATCGCATTTTGAACTTGAGAATTTTCTAAAGTATAGCTTTTTGCATTCATTATCCACGTGTATATTTGATCTAGTCGATTTATATTTTTTTTCTTTGCTAGAGATTAGTTCCGCTTCAATTTTTAATAATTTATCTTCTTTTACAGCTACATGTGATAATAAGCGCAAATCATTCTTTTGCTTGAAAATTGTGTTATGCAACTTTTCATTTACTTGAATCAATTTTATTATCTTTTTTTGCAATTCATAATTTTTTATCTTATCGATTTCAGTCTCTAGGAGAGATTGTTGGCTCATATATTTTATTTTTGTATTATAATCCAAATTGGTTTGTTTTTCACTTTTTTTTAGAATATCATCAAAGAATTTATTTTTTTCTTCTAGTATTTCTATTTTTTCTTGAATATCCGCCACATTTTTAGCTAATTTCACTTTTGCTAGATAAGCTGTTCGTTTCATTAATCTATAAGTGCTACTGCGTAAAGGTAATTTTGCAATATAAATATTTTTCAACTCTGGAATATTTATAAATTATATTTATAGGTATTTCTTGTAGATATTATAAAATTTTAAATTAAATTGAATTTAATTTAGTAAATTATTGTAATTAATTAATTTAACAATTAATCTGTATAATTACAATTTGAAAAAAAGACGAATTTGATGAATTGAAGCAATTCATTTTAAATTTATACAATTACTGTTTTAATTTTGGGTTTACCTTTTTGTTATTAATAATATTAATTAGATTTAATGATCGTGAAAATTTATTTAATTTAGCATTATACTTGGACTCAATTACAACTCAAAGAAAATGATCGAATTTTTCAATGCGGAGCATTTACTTGTACATTTACAACAGAAGCACATGAAGGTATATATTTATATTTATCTTATTGTTTATATGTTATCAATAGAAAAACTTTTATTATTTATCTTGCATCGTAAAAATATCTTATCAGTTATTAATGCTATTTATATAAAAATTAATTTTCATTATTTGGTTAGGTAGGTTATTACAACCCTGTGTTAATTATATTTTATTTGCCTAAATTTATATTTAATTTTGCCCAGAATATGTTTGAAGATATACGTAAGTTACATTAATCTGATGCTGGTCAAAAAATCTTAATGCTAGCCAAATTATTTTATCTTAATGCTGACCAAAATTAATCTTTATTTATATCTTACACCCTATGTTAATTATATTTTATTTTGCCTAAATTTTATATTTAATTTGCCCTGAATTATATTAATCTTGTTTGAATTATATAATATTACATGATTGTTTACCAGAGCTATAAAAAATTTCTACTACATGAAATTTTTCAACTCTATTAATAACATATTCAGATGTTCATAACTGACTTTTTAAATATAGAGCATGTCAAGCAGGGATGCTCAAATGAACTCAAATGACCCAATTTTTTTATTATGAATTCTAGTCCGAAATGACCTAGGTCATTTGAAAAAAAGGCAAATGAACTCTATTTTACTATCCCTAAGTCAGGAGGAATCTGAAAATTATATTTTTATTCTTATAGATGTATTGCACCGGTTTAGAAGTAACGATTAAACTAAAATTTTTAGTATACATAAAAAAATATCAACTTGTCTATATATTCTAACAACTTAAACCCAGTTCATATAATGAAATCATGATTTTAACAAATTTCTCCTTATCAATGTGCTCGTATTCATAAACTTTTGACAAATATTTTGCAATTTATACAACACGGTCATAATCTAAATACAGAAAAAATCTGGATTTCGAATACAGTATTTTAACAAGATTTTTATAGATTTTCCTTCCGTGGGGTATGTACCGATTTGAATTGAATGAAGATTTCGTCAAAACTATTGACTGACCCCTTATGCGGCCCATCCATTAATGAATTAAGAAGTTTATTGACTGCCAGTAGTTTTCCAGAAATATAAGATATAACAGTTATATTTTTACTGAAACACGCAATTCTGAAGCCTAAAAAGTTTATCTTACATGAAGATTCCATCAAATCTATTGACTACTCCTTATGTAGTTCGCCCATTGAATCCTCCCTCTTTAAGAAATATAATTCATGTGATTTTCCAAGGCTAAAAGTTTGTGACTCCTAAAAATATATTTTGGAGAAAGTTTTTTTTACTGAAACGTGCAATCATACTGCAACTAGATCGAGAATATAAAGCACATCTATTCGTTTGACCTTTTTAAAAAATCTCAAGATTTCTCTACGTACCTTAATAATAATAATGACTCGCCGTATCAGGAAAAATGAGATTTCAAAAGTTTCTTTGTCAAAAATCGATTATGAAAACTATAAAAATAAATTTCCAAGTCTTTTAAAGCAAGGTGTCTCCTTTTCTAATCAATCGAATATTCATGATCAACTTAGAGCCATTTTTTTACGGCTGCACATATTTATGCCAATAGTATAAAACTAATTAATAAATTTTTGTTTTTTTTAGTAAATTTTAGATATATTATTTATGAATGTATTTCTATTAACATTACTAGAATTGGAATCAAAAAGGATCATTGATATTTAAATCCTGACTCCAACAAAAACGCCCAAATTACTATTGATATTGATAATTTTTTATCGAACGACTCATATTCTGTCTCAGAATCTTCCATATCTGACAATGAACACGATAAATGACAATCGCGATACGATCAACAGTTAATCGCTAACAAAATTGCTGAAGTTCAAACAAAATTAGATAATAAACAACCTATGGTCACCAATTTGCACACAAAATCCCTGCTTAACGAGATACCCATCCAGTTACAACAAGATTTTAATATCAATATAAATTCTGAAAGAAATCAGAATTGGAATTATATTTTAAAAAAAAATTGGCATTTTATAGCAATTTCGGTTGCGTTAGCTTTACTTAGCATGTTTCTTATAATGGTAATAGATAATATTTATTTAAGCAATTATTCTAAGAATTTTATTATTTTTTATTTAAATAGAATACCAATAACGTCTGGCAACATAATATAAATACTAGTAATAATGTCTGGCAATCAGTACATGAAACATATGTTAATCTACTACACAAAACATTACTCGAAAAAGTAAGTATTATTATGATTTTATTAACATTTAAAAATCGTTCTAAGCAATATATTGTATAGCTTAACGCGGTGAACAAAGAAGAAAATAATAAGCTTCAAAAAGAACTCGCGAATACAGAAAAAAACTTGCAATAACTGAAAAGGAGCTAGAATCTACTAAAAAAAAAAAAACGCGGAACTCGATGCGATGGTTATAGAATTTCAAAAAAAAATCAATAATCTCAATAAGAAATACGAGGAATTTCTCCAGAAAAAGACGATACTTGAAGCATCAGTGTCAGCTCTGAATGATAAAATTAAGTTTTTAGAAGCCGAGAAAGGAAGAAATGAAAAAGAGATTAAATGTTTGAAAAACGATTTAAAACAAATACGTGACGAAAGTGATGTAGTCGAAAAGCGGTTAAAAAAGATTAATGACGATCGAAAGAAAGAAATTAAACTAAAAGATGATAGGATTGCAGATTTAGAACAAGAAAACAAGAAAATTTAGAACTTATGAAACAAAAAAAGTATTGCAATAGAAATAGTTAAATAAAATCAAACAATCATAGTTAAACTAGCTAGTCACGTCAATATAATTCTGAACATCCTCATGTGATAAGACAAAGTCCAATTCTTGACCAACAACAAGCAATTAATTGAATTAGTATTTATCTCTCTTTTAAAAAATTTTTTTAAACAGAAAAATTACGATACTGTCAGAGATACAATTGGACTAGCAAATAATGTAAGTGTATTTGAGTACGACAGTTGTTAGATTTTCACTCTCATACACAATAATTTATAAGATAGGAATATCTATTAAAATTTAAACTAATCCTGTTTTGCATCATTGTTTAGTATCGCGAAGATTTATTTAGTGTAATCTTCGAACAAGTAAGTATTTCTTTGGGTTTCACTGTTATTAAAACATAATAACTAACTTATTAATATAATGTAGATAAGACTTTTTGCAAATGCGAGAGATTCTCAAGAACAAAATTCAATTCTCGTATCGCAAAATGATGTTTTAAAAGTAAAAAATAAAGAGGTCAAAGAAAGAAATCATGCTCTAGAAATAGATAACACAAATCTTAAAGTAAAAAATAAAGAAACTAAAGAAAGGAATCACGCTCTAGAATCACAGAATATAATTTTAAAAACTGAAAATACAGATTTAAAATTAAAAGATGAAAATCATACAAAACTCAAAACAAAATATGCAGTTCTACGAGAATCTTAAATCATCATATAAAGAACTAGAAGCGAAGATCACTGAATCTGAAAATAAACTTAGAGATATCAATAAGAGATATGGCGAACTTCTCACAGAACATTCAAATCTAGAAGTAATTTATGCCACACTTGAAAATAATTATAAAGCTTTACAAGCTCATGACGGAAAGAATAAAATAGAAATTAAAAATTTGGAAAAGGAATTGAAAGAAATACGAGACGAAAAAGATAAAGTGGAAAAAGACTTGTTAAAAATGATCGAAGAACAGAATAAAGAAATTAAAGAAAAAAATGAAATGATAGAAAAATTAAATGCAGAAAAGTACGTATGTGCTAATTATTTATTTATATATTTATTTCTATCTTTCATTTGGCAGATATTAATACTTTTTTTTTTAGTTGGTCTTGGCATTGTTAGAATGCAAAAAACAACGGAGTTCTGAATTTTGGTAGAAAAGAAGAACTATAGCCGAGGATAAGTACTAATTCTTTTTCTTTTTTTTTTATTCATTTGTTTTTTTTCTGTTCATTTCTTTTTTTTTTTTTTGGCAGATAATAATATTTATTCTTTGGCCTGTGCCAGATTCTAAAAAAGACAAAAAAATATATAGTAAACATATCCTCACTTTTTACTATGTTTTTTCTCTGGTTCTTAACGGATCACGAATTAAATTTTTTACTTGGTCAGATTGATGAAAATCAAAGTTAATTTTATTAATTATAAATTTTTCTATTGGTCAGAATTGGTAAAACAAAACAACGTTATCACGTGACCAGAACTTTTTTGCCATGGCTAGGGTACTTGCGCGAACTAATACGACATAACTGGTTAGTGCATGTGCTCCTCTACACAACTTGCCATTTAGTTTATCCAGCAGATTCCTTTGAAAGGTGTTCATAGTTAAAAATATGCACTTAGAGAAAGTATGCATTTATAAAAAGAAAAATATATAATACAATTATAAACTAAAACCAGACATCATGTATTTAAAAAGATTTTATATAAAAATGCATTTAGTGAAGTCTCTTTGTATTTACTAAATTTATTAACTAATCTCAAAATAAATAAAAATTGAATAAAAATAAACATTTTGTAAAGAATATACAATAAAACATTTACTTATTTTTTGTTTATAAAATAACAAATATTATTTTGTAAATAATATTTTTATTACTATAACAATTAGATGTATATTAATACCCTACAAATAAATAGCAAAACTAAACAGGTAAAATCAGGTAAAGAATATATAAATTGTAAATAATAACAATAGCTAATTTTATTAAATATGTGAATCGTAATTTTTATCTATTAAAAATATAAAAAAATTATGATTGTTTACAATTACAAAATAAAATTATTATTTTATATATACCAAAGCTTTCAGAATTATCAGTAATATCAAGCTTAACGTGAGCAGAATCGGTTTGAGTCTAAATAAATAATATATTTAAATAAATATAACAATTTTTAATATAGATTAATTAAAAAATATATACTTTTAAGCGCATTTGAAATTAACTTTGTGTTAATCATTTTACCAGTGTATATTTCATCAGAATATATTGAAATCGGCAATATTTTAATAGCTTTATCAGCATCTAAGAATTGCTTTTTAATTTCATTATCAATCAAACTATTTATCTTTCTAAGCCAACCTTCAATTGTTTTATAGGAACCGTAAGCACTAGGCTGTTTTTGTGGATCTAAATCCATACATTGCTTTGCTAATTCAACATAACAATTGGGAGTTTCAGATGCAAATTCAGGTTGCAAATTTTATTGCAAGATTATGATCAAAATCATGACCATCAAAAGGATCTGTAGAATTTAAATAAAAAAAATTTTATCGAATTTGATCAAGTAGTTGCTGAGATATCCTTGATCAAAGTTTTGTTAAAAATTTTGGCGCAGCTTCTATTTGTTCTGTTTGATAGCCGTTTTGGCTTTTTTTTTAAAACATCTGTTATAAAGTTTTTAACTTTAAATTTATAATATATAATTTGTAATTTTAAAGAAGTATTTTTATTAATAAATTAGTAAAACAAAACTTACAAAAAAATGGGATAGTGATTATATAAAAATATTTTTAATAAGTACTGTAATTAATTATGAATTACAAACCTTTAAAATGTTCTAATTCTGTTTTAGCAAAGCAAATTCAATTCTGTAACTTGCAAATGATAGACAAATAGTGTAGTTTTATAATTGATTTGACTCCAAAATGTCTTCCTATAAGCTGGTTGCATTTTTTTTCTCGATAATAAAATGATACAGTTTTATACAAGTCACTCTCGTTATAGTGAACTCTCGATATAGTGAAGAAATTTTACAGCCCAAGGACTTCACTATAACGAGAGTGACTTGTATATCGTGCATTGATTAAAATTTGCATCAGATCAAAATTAAATATGGAATTTTATTAGCAGAATTATAATGATCGGTATCATCACGAAATAACGCCCCAGAGTGTAGTTTAATATTTTGGCCCTACATTAAGACTAATCTTAATATAGGCAGTTATCTTGAAGATAGCTTAGAAACATATAAACACTATGATAAGCTAATTTTGATGCTTTAAGCCTGAATTTGGCATTGTTCTATAATCAATAACTCTCTTATTTTAGCACAATAAAAGTCTTATCAATAATTTCGAACTTATTTCATTCTCCTATGCCATCAAGAGGCCGTCGGATAAATAAATAAGTTTATTGATTCTACGGAGTAGCTACTTTAAGTTTTAAGTGGTACAATTTGTATTAATTATTGATCTACGGATCACACACATGGCCAATGACATTATTTAGTTTCTATCCCTTAAACCGTCTAGCAGGCAAATTTGCCCGCTAAAATTATTTCTATAAAGTTTTTTTGAGTTTTCTTAAAATTTATTTAAGCTTGACCCCCCCCTATTTATTGAATAAAATTAAAGATATTCCTTTTATATATAATATATTTAAATTTTATCATTCTATCTTTAATTTTGATAAAGATATTACATTTTTAATAAAACTTATTTTTTAGATTTACTATTAAAATTTTAAAAAGTTTCTTAAAATTTTATATATTTCCGAAGAGAAATTTTGTAGTTACTACTAAGTAAAGTTCAAATATTGCTTAATAAGTTGTAAAAGTTTTAATAATAAAAGTAGTGTAATTTTAAATTGTCTACAACTTTGGATTAAGGTAATAGGGGGTCTATCTTATATTTTTATTGAGTAAAACTAAAAAAACAGAAAAAATTTTTAAAATTAAAATTTTTTTAAAAAATTATAAATTTTTCTTTTATAAGCAACTTCAAATTTTTTATAAATATTAAGCAAATAAAAAGAAGTTTTAAATAGTATATAATCATAGTTTTTATTTAAAAAAAAAATTATAAAATATTTTTATTTTTTAAAAAAAATAGATCAGATATGAATTTATAAAATTTAAGCAGCCAAATTTGCCTGCTGAAACTGGATGGTTTAAGGGATCAGATCTACGCATCATGCAAAAGTTACGTTTTTGATTTATTCATTATCAAAAAATTAAAAAGCTAACTTTGAACTTCTGTCACGTGCATGACAGAAAGTTCAAAGTTCTGGAATTACAGACTCATGGTTAGAGATACCCATATTGACTTTGGTGCGGAAAAAAAATGCATATCATTTCATAATTTTTGAGGATTATTGTGACCACAATTGGTGATTAATCATTATGATAAAAACACATGTTCAAAGATGACTCTTAGTACATCGTCATTTATTTTGGGAATCATTAATTTAGTGGTTTCAATGATCTTTTCCTGAGCTCGCATTTCCGCTTTTTTATCTATTTTTATGAGATCGATGATGGCATTCGCGGGAATTTGAATATATCTTTTGGAAACGTGTTGCCTTGCCCTTCTTTCTTCCACCTCGATCTCTTCATCATCATGCAAATTAACAACCGTGTAAAATCGTGGTCACATGTGTTGCTCAATTTCAATTTTTTCTTGTTTGGAAGACGTCTTCAGTCTCTTTCGAGATACTTGTTTTACTGAAATGTTTGAAAGACATTTTTTAAAAAATTATATTTCATTTTTTTTTATTCTAAAACAATGAACAGGACTCACATTTATAATAATTTTGAATTATGTAGTTTATTGTAAAACTGTAGTTAATTGATATTTAAAATTAACAGTTTTATCTTTAATAAGAATATACCAAACTTTAATATAATGCAGCAACATCATTTTCACATATATGCTTATTAATCTTAAAACACTTCGTATCGTAACGTAACGTTAAATGATATTTATATCTGATATCGATATTGCATGGCTAGTGCATACCGATACCGATATATATTATCAGTTGGTATCGATAGAAAAGGTCGAAACTGGTTTTGGTTCAGAACTAGTTTGGAGGGTCTGTTACATGAAGACAACAAGGCCAAGACTCGAATTTTTAGAGATTGTACCTGGGTCATTTATACATTAGCCTAAAAATTTATGGCCCACATAAATACCATGAAAAAAATTTCAATATGCATCAATTATTCGTTTCACATTTAAATCAAACAAATTAATTAGCGTTGGGGTCAGATATATGACAGGATCTTGTACATGGTAGTACAAACTTACAGTATTTTGCGGACATACATGCCCGCAATTTCATTTTATACCTGATCATAAAATTTGATCACGAAATTTTTTGACATTAGTGAATTTGCATTTTCCAACTGCTATAGGGCTTATGATTATTCTGATGTGGGTCACCGACTATTTATGATAGATAAACTTGATCTTATCACATAGTGATAGCATAAAGTGTAGCATAAAAGCCTCTAGAGGACATAGTCTGCGCATAAAATGATGTTTTATAAATCAGTGCAGAATAAGTAGTTTTATAAATTAGTGCAGAATAAGTAATTTTTTGCATAATTTGGAGTTGAAGATTTTTACGAGCACATCGGTTGGAGTTACAAAATTATGTATATAAGTAGTTGAATATTTTATTTGACTCGCATAAATCGCATAACGATAAATTATTTTATTCTAAGAATTTTAACACATAATTTCGCATAAATGGACTTAAATTACAAGAAAATTTTGGGGGTCGGACGCACCAGAAAGTTGGCGATGAATTTACTAACACAAGCTAAATTCTAAAAAAATCTATTTGTGACACTTTGTAATAACGATAAATACTGTACCAGTTCCTTGAAAATTTAAAATCTGATTATCATAATTATAAATCTTTAACACAGGAAACTATGAGTACAACATCAGAAACACATGAAATTGATTTGAACTTAGATATTATTAAAAACATTCTAGGTGTAATTGGAGCTATCGGAGACGCAGCACAACCATACTTACCTCTAATTTCAACTGTGACAATTATTATTGCAGAAATATTTAACATTTACGAGAATGCTCAATATAATAAAAATATTTGTAGCTCTTTGATGGACTGAGTCACCGCTGCAGAGGCAGCTATTAAAACTTAAGAAAGAAGGGAAAAAAATTTCTGTGATATCAATTACTATAAAACCTTTTTAAAATTCATTAATGTGATGGAAAGGATAAAACAATTCATTAAAGATGAATCAACCCTATCTGGGTTTAAAAGGTTAATGTACATTAATTTAGTTAAAGAAAAGTTCAGATTGCTTATTAATGAATTCGAAACTACCATGAATGATTTACATTTTGCAACAACCCTCTTTAATGATGAATAGAGAGAAATAGATGCAATAGCCCTTAAATCTGACCTAGAAGAAATATCAAAGGTAAATTCCTGTTAATTAATGAATTAATGGAATTTCAAGTAATTAATTTGTAAATTTAAATTAAATAGTTTTTGGAAACAATTGGCGGTGGTGTTGTTGATGCTAATCAAAATATTAACAATGTTCTGAAAGAAGTATTAATTATTAAAAATCAATTGAGATGCAAAAATTCTATTACTAAAAACATCAGAGCAACAGAAATAGAGCCAAGAGATTTAAACGACCCTCAGATTGGAATTCTACTGACACACAAGGCAACAAAGAATCACCTCTCATTAAAAAACTGCTAAATGGAGCTATTGAAGTCGCCTGCAAATGTACAAAAATTATAGATGATGATACATCTGGAAGTCAAAAAATTCAAGCCCAACTTGCCATATTAGGAAAATTGAAAGATTCCCCAATATCCTTAAATTTTATAGTCTTTCAAAAATTTCAAACTATCTAGTTATGGTTTTTGAATGGGCAGAACTTGGCACACTTCAAGAATTATATGATGAAAATGATATTGCATGGTATTCAAAGTACAAATAGCTCTTGTTATTTGTTGCGGCCTTGTGTTTTTGCATACCTGTGAAATCCTGCACCATGACATCAGGTGTGCAAATATCCTAGTAAGTCATAAATTTATTTTAATGACATTATTGCTATCGCTATTATGGAATCAATATTTGCGAACGATAATCATTATAATAAACAAACTAAAACAGATGACTTCACGACTCAAACCAAAGATAGCAAATGTTAAATATGCTTGTCATGATTCATCGCATACCAATAAAATAAATTGTTTAAATGAAATCTTATATTGGATGGCTCCCGAAAAATTAAAGGAAACTCCTGAAAATTTCGTGCGATATACATTCAAATGCGAAATATTTCTTCGATTCATTGAAGATATTAATTATATTTTCTTAATCTATTTTCTTAAATTAGTTTCAGGATGATACTTTGGGAACTTGCATTTGAAAAAATTCCATATACAACTATGGAAATAAATAAGATTAAGGAGCATGTTTTAAAGGGTAATCGAGAAAAAATTTCTTGGGGAGTTGGCCCACCAGATATCCAAAAAATCAAATGAAAATTTGCAAAAATAATAATTTCAGGTAATATATTTTTTTACATTTAACTTTAATTTTATTTACTTTGGTTTGCTAAAGTCTTTTTTTTTTACTATAAAGCCTGGCAACAAGATATTAATGTCAAAGTTTCTCTTCACGATATTTTTTTAGAACTGATAAGCTATCCATGGCCTCTGTCAAACCAGGTTCTTCCCCATCACTGCTCCCTAATGAAACAATAGATTTCGATAGATCTAAACCTCAACTACAACCTATAGAACTTCCTGAAATAACCATGAATTTTAATCTTTCAAAAATAATGCCTTTTGAAGAAGGCATTAAAGCTCATAAGAAAAAAAAGATTATAATACAGCATGGGAATGTTTCCAAGCCCATTCTGAGTTGGAAAATGCAACAGCCAAATATTGGATGAGATATTACTTATCCGAAGGATATCCTTTGGGAGTTAAAGATCTTGTTAGGGCAAGTCAATTATTCAAGGCAGCAGCTGATAATGGAATTTCCGATGCTCAACTACGTTATGCATTTTCATTAACCAATATGCCAGGTATTAAATTCAACAAGAAGACATTTAGTGAATTTAGTGAATATGTATCTTATAAAAGCAGCTGATGCTGTAAATGTCACAGCTCAATATAATTTAGATGATATGTATTTAAATAGAAAATTATTTTGCCCTGTGAATGAAGAATTGGGCATTAAATACTTAAAATTAGCTGCTCTTAATGATCACATTGATGCGATCAAACTTCTTAAGGAAAAAGAAATTAATATTTTTAGTTAAAATATTTAATTTTATTTTTGAACAATTTAATATGATCGAAAAAAATACCAATTCAATTATTTTTAAATTTTCTTATTATTTTTACAAATTTATTATCATTATACTTTCTTTAAATATAAATTTATTTACAAATTCATACAAGTTAAGAATAGGAATAGATATAATAAGTAGAAAATTTTTATTTTAAAATTTACATTTAATAAAGACAAACTTGACTTACTTGAAAAAAAAGTCCTAATTATTTCTTGCTCAAATTATAATTTATGTGACCTAACTTAGTAATGGCTTTATAACAGTAACTATTGAATTTTGCCTATTTTTTTAAAAAAAATCCAAATTTAAATAAGTGAAAATTTCAAAAATGAAAATCACTATTTCATAAATATATGGAATCAATATGCACAATAATTTTAAAAGACCAGATTTTGTAGTAAAAAATAATAAAAAGCAATATTATACATTTTATAATTTCTGTTATCAATAAAATACGCCAGTAAAGTTTTATCAACATTAACTATTTGTAATTTAAAAGTGTTAACACTTATATTTCGTGTTTTTGACTTTAATCGTCATCTTCAACTATTTAAATTCATAAAATAAATAAACAATACGTTAATAAATTACAAGCCGATATTTAATATAATCAAATTACAACTTGACGTGTAAAAATCAATGCAACACCAGCATTGGCAAAAACATGGTCATTATCAAAAATTTTTTTTTGGGAAAAGACCGATCATAAAAACATGTTTTTGCAAAACTGAAAAAATATGAATTTTTTTATGTACTGTATTTAAATAATACTAACTTGAAATATCTGAAATTTTAAGATCTAATTGTTTAGAATCTAATAAAATATGTTTATGATTAGATAAATTTACAAACACGTTTTTTTTAAGTAATTAAATGATATTAAATATCTTTAATTTGTCTTGTGTTAATAATTTTGCTAGTATACATTGAATCTTGATGCTTTTGTTCGATAATTGGTAATTTTTCAATAAATTTACCAGCAGATAAGAATTTCTCTTTTATACCAAGTTTATCAAATTTCTTAGTATAATATAAAAAACACTATAAGTAATAAAGCTTTGAGCTAATTTCATTTGCAATGGGTCGTTTCTGCGGATCTTGATCCATACACTTTTTAGCCAGTTTAATGTAACAATCAGGAGTTCCAAGTGCAAATTCTGGACGTTCACCCCGGCAGATTCTTATAGCAAGTTTAGTATCAAATTCATGACTATCAAAAGGTCTTTGCCCAGATGACATTTCTGCTATAATAATGCCTAGTCCATAAATATCAGCTGCTGGTGTATAAGGTTTGCCTTCTAAAACTTCAGGTGCAACATAAGGCATAACTCCATAAATTTCATCACCTTGATTGTGTTCTTCGATTTTCTTAGATAATCCAAGATCTGCAATATAAGAAAATATAGATCCATCGATTTTATTTTGCAAAATATTTCTACTATGAAAATCACTATGAGTATATCCCGCTTTGTGAATTTTTACTAAGTCATTTGATATATCAATAAGTTGCGACAATTTATCTTTCCATGTAAGTTCTTTGTATACAACAACACAGTTTTAACTTACTTCTTTTAAACATTTAGAAGAATCTTGTGCATTGTGCCAAGTTTTGAGTGCAACCGTAGATGATTCTTTACATGATCTTACCCAGTTACCATTAGTATATTTAGTAACTCGCATACCATCCAACCAAATTGCTGAGAATACTGATCCATAACCTCCTTCAGCAATGTATTTGATTTCTTTTAATCTATCAAATGGGATCCATTCAATCACCTCATCATGCATTATAGCTTCGCGCTGAAACTCTTTAATACAATCTTTAACAAGGTCATCAATGACATCGCTATTTGACCATCTTTGTATAATTGTCTTGAGATCGCACGTCTGGCACCAGGCATAAAACGTTTTATACTGCTTACAACTTCCACATGTTCCGAAATATGATTGTCTGCGCATGAAATAATTTTTGCAATTAGCTATTTAAAGATTTTCACAAAATAAATTAGATATAAAATATCAGTATTGTACTCACCGTCTAGTTTAACGTGTAAGAAAATGGCAGATAATAGATAAAATAGAGAAGGAATAATTAATAGTTAATTCTATTTTGTTGACAATAAAATATAATGTTTATTTTTATATATATGAATAAAATTTAACACTTACTCACTAATAATATAAACCAGATAACAGAATAGAGAACGAATAATTAATAGTTAATTCTATTTTGTTGACAATAAAATATAATGTTTATTTTTAT